GAGTTTAGACTGCAGCCCCTCAGAAAACTCATCATAACATTGGGAAATTGCAATATTTTTTGATAATAAAAATTTTGTTTTGAAGCTTAAATATGGCATATTAATGCCTGAAAAAAAGCTTCATTCCCATACAAGAGAGAAAACGCTATTTGGTTTCTAAGGGAGATTACTGGCTCACTAACTCACTACCGCAACACTGCGTATACGTAACTTTTATAAAAAAAAATGTTTAATACATTTTGTGAAATTGTGAGAAAAGTAAAAATAAATAAATTACTTTTTTTTTCTAATTTTACAAAATGTTGATTTTAGTCTTAAATTAGTCCATAGCGAAAAATTAAAAAAAAATGTTTAAAATACTAAAATAATTTATAATTGAAATTAAAAACTGTTGGGATTATGGATATTTTATAAAATTATTAGTATTAATTATTTCAATGTATATTTAATGTCGACATTTTAATAAAGTAATCTTTATAGAAAAAATACCCTTAACGTTTTTTGCCAACCAACACCAAATCACTTGTTGTAAGCCTCAATTAACTATATAAATTCGCATGCTTAATTTGTTTAATGTTTAACTGCATTAAGTGGAAATAATTTCATTTTCATTTAAATTTATTATTTTCATTTATTCAATTATTTTCAGCTTTTCATTTTACGCTTTTTGCCATTTTATAACGCATTATTTTTATTTTTTTTTATTTTTTTTAAATTTTTTTTTTATTTTTTGCACTTATTTTATGCTTGCGCCTGGCACTTGAACTAAATATTTCAACGTCTGCTGTTGTACGCGCAGTATGCGACGGAGATTTAATTTTTCATTCTCTTTGGCACAGATTAAAAGAGGCGGTGGCGGCACCGATATTGCGGTGTGTTGTTGCTGTTCTTCTTATTTTTGTATGTTTTTTGTTGTTTATTTTTGTTATTGCTTTCGTGTTTGTTGTACTTATTTATTTTCACATCAACGTTTCCCTACTACAACCCACAAAATTTCTTAAATTATATATGTACATACACAGTATGTGTGTTTGTTTGTATTTCGTAGAAATTTTCTTTCACTTTAATATATATATTTTTTTTGTTGTTATTCAAATATATATTTTTTACTTATTTGGGTTTGTTGTTTTTGGCATTTTTTCGTGGTAGACTGTTGAGTTGATACACAAACTTTTTTTCAAGTAGAAGAATTTTCACGAAATTATGGGATATTTTTTGGGTTTTCTGTTTGATATGCTTTTTCGTTCTTTCTTACCTCTGCTTAGTGTTTTAGATAATTTCATTTTTATGAGGGAGAATTATTCACTACCTTTATAAATTGCCATTTCGCGTACGTTTTTTTTTTTTTTTGGTAATTATTTTCACATTTTTATTTTTGTTTGAAGTTCGCCTTAAGCATGTCAACTAAAGCGAAAGTGGTCGCAAATGCAATATAATTAAAAGGAAAAAAGTGAATTTTAATGAAAACAAATTTACAGCGCTCGCTCAAGTAGGCTACAGACACTTGTGCTGATGTTGTATTTGTTGCTGTAGTTCTTGTTAGCAATTGTTGCTGCATTTGGTTGAGAATCAAGTAAATGACTTTTCATAATTATTTACAGGCAACAATGTAAGCACTTACACATACACATACACAAACACACACACACACACACACACATACACACACGTACACACACTCGGCACGTACATGTTGAAATAAAAGGTACTTATAAAACCTCATTTGACCGAGTATGACGCTTAATGCGGCTGCATAAGGGCATATATATATATATATATATATATATATATATGTGTGTGTTTGCATTTGTTTGCGCGTGTAAATCATTGGTTCAGCAAGAGTTCCGGCAAAATAGAGATATGGAAAAATAAATTAATATTACAAACTGAAAGGGAAATTTAATAAAAAGGAATATCTATATGTACAAATGTATGTGTATATAATATTGAATTTACAAACATGTACTGTTTGGTTGCACACATCAAAGATATTTTTAAATTTTACATGAACGACCTTATGTTCATACTTGTAAATGTACAGGTTGGTCTACAGATTTATGTACTTTTGTTTTATTTTGCCTTTTTTGTATTTTAATATATAATATTTTGATTAATTTTCTTGTATCTTAATTTATTTCATATTTTTTTTTATTTTATATTGTGTCAATTCATTTTATTTTTTAATTGTATCTTATTTAATTAAATTTTTTATATTTTTTGGTTTCTTTTTTTTAAGTTTAATTTTACTTTAATTTGTTTAACTTTAATTTATTTTCTTTTAAATTATTTTTTATTTTTATTTTTTATTATTTTTTTAATTTATTTTATTTTATTCTATTTGTTTAGTATTATTTGAGTTCATTTTGTCTCTTTTGTATTTTATTTCATTTTGTTTTATTTTATTTTTATTCATTTTATTTTAGTTTTTTTTCATTTATTTTTTTTAATTTAATTTTGCTTTAATTTGTTTTACTTTAATTTGTTATCTTTTTTAATATATGTTATTTTTATTTTTTATTATTTTTTTAATTTATTTCATTTTATTCTATTCGTTTAGTATTATTTTATTTCATTTTGTCTCTTTTTTATTTTATTTAATTTTGTTTTATTATATATATATTCATTTTATTTTAGTTTTTTAACTTTGCTATTATTTTATTTTTTTCATTTCATTTTTTTATTTAACTTTATTTTGCACTTTTATTTCATTATTTTATTTTTATTTGATTTCATTTTTTATTCCATTTATTTGCTTTCATTTTATTTTAATTTATTTTTCTTTGTATGCTTTATTTTGTTATTTTATTCTAATTCAATAACTTTCTTTTATTTACTTTTTTTGTATTTTATTTAAATTTATTTTATTATAGTTTATTTTTTATATTCTTTTTTTTAATTTAATTTAGTTTTATTTCAATTTACTCGACATATTTTAAATTAATTTAAGTTTATTTAATTCGATTTAATTTTATTTTAACTACATATATTTTTTTATGACTTTATTAAATTTTATTTCAATTTCTTATGTTTGATTTTATTATAAATTTGTTTTTTTTTTTAATTTTGCTTTAAAATTTTTTATTATATTTTTTGGCATTTTTTGGAATATTATTTTAGTTTATTTTCTTTGGTTTTATTTTAATAATTTTTTTTTGATTACTTTTATTTAAATTTTATCTTATCTTCTTTAAATTTAGTTATGTTATATTTTTTTCATTTTTTGGTTTTTTTTATTTTTTTATTTTACTTTATCTTAATTATTTAATTTTTTTATTTGATTTCATTTAATTTAATGTTTTTTATGTTATGGTAACTTACTTTTATTTATTTTGCTTAGTTTTATTTTATTTATTTTTTTCCTGATATCTTTTTCTACTAATTTCAAATTAATTTTTTTGACATTTTAGTTAATGTAAATGTTATTTTTGTTTTATTTGCTTTTTATAGTACTGTATTTTATTTAAATTGTTTTATTTTATCTTATTGCAATTTATTTTATTTTTTTTTAATTACTTTAATATATTTTATATTAGTAATTTTTTTAAATTTTATTTATTTTATATTATTTCTTTTTCTTATTTATTTTATTTATTTTATTATTTATTCTATTTTTCTTGTTTTGTTATATATTATGTTTATTTATTTTAATTTATATTATTTTACTTATTTTCTAATTTAATTAATTTATTTTATTTAGTTTTCTTTTATATATATTTTTTATTTATTTTATTTGTTATTCTATTTTATTTTGATTATAATAATATTTAATTTTTTACTTTATTTTTTCTTTATTTAATTTTGTTTTATACTATAATATAATTTTTATTTAAGATATTATTTTATCTTATTGTTTGAATTTTTGCTATTTTTTTTTGATTATTCTATTTTATTTTTTTATATTTTAATATTTAAGTTAATTTAATTTTATGTATTTTATATTAATTTCGGTTTAATTTTATATTTTTTTTTCTGATTTAGTTTGGTTTAATTGTTTTTAATTTTATTTTATATAATTTACTCTTTTTTAATTATTTTGACTTAATTTAATTTAAATTAATTTTTATTGTAGTTTATTCTTTTCATTTTATTTTGTTGTGCTTTATTATACATACATACATATATCGATACATCCATAGATTCATATATCAATCCATCCATATCTGCTAAGAAATTTATATTTACACTGTCAGTGCCACGATTGAGACTTGTGCAAGAGCTTCATGATACATACGGTGCAAGGCGGTTAGGATGGAGGGCAACAAATGGTGCGCTACGTATGTACAATATTTAGGATTCGTCGCAATGCGTTGCGTTTTGTTAGCGTGGCGTGGCGTGGCGTGTGGCGTTTGTGCAGCCTTGGTTTCATTCAAAAGTAGATATGCGATGTACAGACTTTCAACTGCTCAGCTTCATACGTATGTATATATGTATATATATATATATATGTATGTATAAGCAAGCATTCAGTCTTTCCAACGAGTATGCGTGTGCATGTAGAAAATTGCAAAATCCTTTTATTGCGAAAAATAATCATAGAGAGCGCAAAAAAATCAAATCAAACACTAAAAAGCTTTTAACAGCATTCCACACATTTCTCCTCCATCACTGCTACTGTCACTCCACTTCACTTCGTCGCCACCTACACACAACTATTTCATCTACACGCTGGTCATTCACTTCGACGGCAGAGAAATCTTGCGAATTTTTGCCAAAAAATGAAAATAAAACAAAAAAATCTTTATCTGCACCAAAGCAGCTTTAGCCTTAGTTAACGCTATGCTGATTGTGTCTGCTTCATTACCGTTAAAAAATTTAGTGAACGCATTAAAATTCTATAGGCCACATTGAGTTGTAATAGTGAAGTGCATGGAGCCACTTAGCGTTGTGCCGCAGCGTCACGCACGCACACACAACTCACACACATTTATACTTGTGAGGAGAGAGAGAGAAAGAGAGAACACACTCTTTTGCGTATATTATATTTATACAAACAAACATACGTATATGTAATTTGTGCGCCTTTAACAACGTACACAATGAAGTCGAGAGAAAATTTCAACGCTGAAATACTTTCATTTCTAAAAATATTTTTTTTTGTTACTTTTAGCCTGCAGCGTAGTCAGCTGCGGCGTTAATAGAAATTTTTCTTTTTATTTCACGCTTTTCATATTATTAATTTGTATTTTTTTACAATTTTTTATTTTTTACTTTTTTTTTTCAATTTGCTTTTTACCACTCAAACAGCTGTGCGTTGTTTCTTTACAATGGCGAAGAATTTATATTGAAAAACACACACACAAGTGCACACGTATCTATAAGCGTACGAATTCGCGTATACTCAAGTACATAGCAATATACATATGTATACACTTTCACATATATAAATATAAATATGACCATTCGATATGTGTGTTGTATGCTCACACGCGGTTCGCTCGCAATTTCTTCAGCAGTGAAGATTTTATGTTTCGCACGCCAAGCTAATCCACGACAGACTGAAAGCACAAAATCTTTTGGCCATAAGCGTAACCAATAGACGAGTGAACGCTTACGCCGTTATTTGGTGGAAAATATATTCTTGGATGCTGTACAACGTGGATTTCCCAGTATTTTACACGTGAGCTACTGTCAAACACGCACACACACACTTAACTTAACACACAGACACAAATAAGCACAGGCAGTTACCTAGGTGTGTTAGTGAGCGAAAGCGAGAGTGTTGAAATGTTGAGCATAACAAATTTTATATATTTTTTATATTAAAACGAGTACTCTCTTGCTTCAGCCTCTTGCGTTGGCCACGGCTGTGCGTAGCATACCGTAGGGCGCAATGTGCATTTTTAATTTTTATTTTTATTTTCATTTTATTTATCTCACTTCCGCTCTTGTATGCGCTTATAAGTACGCACGTACTCGCATATTTTCTCAATTTCTGTGCTTGTTTACATTCGTGACTTTTTTCTTTTTTTTCCTTTTTTTTTTGAGAACACGCAGAAGTCGCAAGAGAGCAAGTTTACAAAATAAACGTGTTTCTATATTGCTGTTAGAAATTTCGAAAAGGTCTACATTTCAAGCGATCAATTTCAGTCTGGGGGAAAAAATTACTAAGTAAAATTGAGATATTCCCATTAAGGCTGAGCTGTTAATAAAAAAAATGGCGTAAGTCCAATTTGTTTATTTCTTTTTTATTTTAAATATTAATTAAATGTATGCTTTCTATTAATGTTGTCGGTCTTTACAATTACAATTCTTACTCTTGCATCCACATCAAACAGCCTGGAAACGTGAGCAACCATTGTGCAATATGCGGGACCGAGCCACAGTGAAGTCTTGGGCCACAGCTAAAAAAGCGAAAGCTCTTCGGTTTAAGTATTCACTGAAAGCTAATTGGCGGCCCCTAATTTACTTGGTTAGCAAGGTGATTCGTTGGATTTGAGATCCGCCACACCAGAACCAGCGCTAATAGCGCCAGCATATAACAAAGTCTCAGATGGGGGACCCCACTTTTAATGACGAATACTGCAACTTTATTAAGGACTATGACTTTAATGCATGCGCTTGGATTGTTCACCACCGTCCAAGTGTTGTGATGGAAGGGACACGGACCAAAAAGAGTAGGTTTTTGTGACATTTACCACAGCAAAAATTTGGTGTAGATTTTGTGGTGGGAGAGAGATATGAAAAGAGGACCGCTTCACACCACCCTCTTCTTCGATTTTAAAACAGCCATCGACAGCATAAAAAGGAAGCCGCTGTATCAGAATTCAATATCTCTAAAAAACTTAGAAGCAGCGCAAGCGCAGTCAGAATTGGGAAGGAACTCTTCGAGGTTTCCAGTGCCAGAAGAGGTTCTTCATAGTGAGATTTTCCAATTCAACGGCAGAGAACAAAGACAATAATAAGAGCTGCCGAACTAAATAGGGAATGTAGAACCTCTTACAAGATTATACAACCGCTGGCGTATGTCGATCTTCCACATTCTCCGAGCTTCACAAAGAAAGAGCAATGGCTCTCGTTGTGAACGACAACAAGACCACATACCTATTGTCATAAGCAACCCTTTTACCCACGATGAAACATGCACACGATCTGTCCACGGAAAACTGCAAGCTTCAGCTAGCTTTTACGAGAGAAGCTCACTAAAGAAAGGTTGAACGAGATCATGTGCAACGTGACCAAACAGCTATAACCAAAGCTGGACGCGAAAAAATCAAAAAATCTTATCCTTCTATACAGGTTCTAAATTAATGGGGCTTTACGGGAAAAAATGGGATATCACTCTTATGATTTTTGCCGCAGCTGCAGGGACGAAGACGAGGAGGAGACCATCGAGCACTACCTCTGCCACTGTCCAGCCTTGGCATCAGCGCGACACAAGTTCCTTGGGAAACGTTTCTTCGACTGTCTCACGGAGGTAGCCTCAGCGAATATTGGAAATCTCTTTGCCTTTATAAGGTTCACGAAATAGTTTGATCACTTGAGAAGGTGAAGGCAGGAGCATTAGCGGTATTAGAATGGACCTATTGGCCTAAGTGTGCTGGTTGCAGCAGCCGCATCAACTCAACTCAACTCAAGCAACCAATTGGCACTTCCCTGTCGACAGCCATAACTATACTTTGGAACCAACAATAACACCAGCAACAATGTCAATGCTACATTGGACTGCGTAGGAAATTGAGAAGCCAAAATCATCTCACGACGAACCAAAGCCAAACTCTGCAAGTGACTCAACATTTCCGTCTTGTTATATGGTGCAGTCCATGAACGATAACAGTATCTGATGAGCCCGAGAAAGGTGTTTTCGAGTGAAAGGTTTTGCATAAAATTTGTTATGCTGTAAGCGTGGCAACGACGAATACCGACGTTGGAGCGATGAGCTGTAAGAGATATGCGGCGACCTTGAAATAGTTCACCGAATCTCTGGCTAGCCATGTGATCCGGAGGTGAAAAATACTATAGCTTTCGAAGCAATACCCGCTGCTAGAAGCAGAGTAAGACCGTTGGAAAAACCACGTAGAGAGGGACTGGGCAAACTTGGTATTATCGATTGGCGCCAAACAGCGAAGATATGGAACGAATGACTCGCTGTTTTTAACTCAGCTATAATCGTGTAAGTGGTGGCTAACGCAATACAGAGGAAGAAGAATTAGCGATGTGTTGTATATACAAAAATGTTGGGTTTCGTTATTCCTTTTGCAGATCTGCCAGAGGATCTCCACAAAGAGCTGCCTGGCAGGGAGGAAGGTAACTCTGATCTATTCTTAGGATGAATGAATATGAATACAGGTATTGACCAATGAAATGAGAAGGTTAAGAGTTTTCAATAAAAATTACAATTTAAGTTGGCTTAACTGTGTTACATTGCGCTTGTTTAGAGAGCGTTAAGAACTTAATCACATTTAAATAAAAAAACAATAGTATCCGTGGGTCGCAACCTTGGTTGCCTTCTCTCTTTCTTTTGGGCAAACCGGATCCGTCGCAATCGCACCACCACAGAACAGCACATAGTGGTGCACAACCATTTGTCTGCCAGTTGAATTCGAGAAAAACAGGAAAACCAACAGCCGAGGTCGAATAGCTCTTCACCACGACAATACGAGCCCTCACACATCGACTGAAACAACTGCCATTTTAAGCATCTAATACATCGATTTGATGAGTCATCCACCATGTAGTCTTAACTTGGCTTCGAATTACTACCAACAGGATTTATTGCGTTTAGAATATTCTTACCATAGATTTCTCAGCAATTTTCGGTTTTAAATTTATTTTTTACTTTTGTTTTCTATCCTCGAACAGCAAATAAGGACTTACACTTTGGAAAAGTATGACTTTGTCTGATCTACGTCGATATCGGCTCTGAATTACTAAGGCAATTTTTATTTAAAAAAAAAAATAAGGTTTTTAGCGTAGGAGAAGTCGAAATTTAACCCGTAACACTCTGACCTAAAAATCGTGTTGACATTTATAATTCTACAAAACTAAAGTTTGCCTACTGCAGGGTTATTCATTTTGTTGCTTCAAAACTAAGCGAAAATAAAATTGCAGAAGTAGCAAAGAGGATGAAGAAGAGGAAACGATCACCCATCTCTAATGCGACTGTCCTGCATAAGCAGGGCGAGGTTTCGTAATTTTGGGGCCCTACTGCTGGATGGTCCATCGAGGATAGCTGACATCAAAGTCATGGATCTAATGGGGTTCATTAGAGAATTAAAATGGATGGAGGATGGTGGCAGATGGTTAAAGTTTTTGTGGTACCACAATGGGTCTAAGTCACGCCTAAGTCTGTTAGATCGATAGCCACCGCAACCTAACCTAACCCTTTTCAACCTTTCATTCCGATAAATTGGAGTCTTTTCAACTTTATGCATTAAGACATTAGCGATGGAACTCTACCTACACCAACCGTTTAAAGTTCCTGAATCCATCCACTCTCGCAAGACGAAATTATTAAAAAAAAATTCTTACGTTTACTTAAATATGGCTGCGCTATTCAAAAAAGTGAAGAAAAATATCTATTTGGGTCCTTGCCTTATGAATTAAATTCAAGAGACGTCGAACGCCGATTCTGAATGTCGGAAATGTTGCTTCAACGCCACTAAAAGAAGTCATTTTTGCTTCAGATTCTCACTGGCGATGAAAAATGGATTCATAATGATAACCCAAAGCGCAACAGATCGTATGTGAAGCCCGGCCAACCATCAACATCCACGTCAATGGGGACCTCTACCGAAAACAATTGATTCGTTTGAAAAAAGCCATCGCGGTAAAACGACCAGAATATGCGACTAGACACGAATCAATAATTTTTCATCATGACAACGCTCGGCCACATGTTGCAAGTCCAGTTAAAAACTATTCGGAAAACTATGGGTGGGAAGCTCTACCTCACACGCCTTATAGCCCAGACAAAGCACCTTCCGATTACCACTTGTTCAGATCAATGCAGAATGTCCTCACCGGTGTACGCTTCACTTCAGAACAGGGTATCAGAAATTGGCTCGATTCTTTCTTGACCTCCAAGCCGGATAAGTTCTTTTGGGATGGGAGCCACAAACCGCCAGAAAGATGGGCAAACATCGTAGCTTCCGATGGGCAATACTTTAAACATTAAATGTATAACAATTTTTTCACAATAAAGTCTTAATTTTCAAAAAAAAAAAAAAAAAAAAGAGCTGCATGATAATCAAAAAACGGCTACGTACTTCAAAAAAAATTCTATTTCAAAAGCTTCAATCAAAATTTCAAATAAATCAATGCAATAGAGTCCGAATAATTTATTCTCTCTGAGAGGCTGCAGCAAAGTAAACCGTTCAGCTATCTGAAATATTTTTTTCACTTTAAAACCAATTGCATATCATTTCTAGGACCAAAAGATACCCTGTGGACAAAAGAGAAAAAAAAAGCGTTGTCCAAAATCCTTGATTGGCTTTAGCACCTAAGGCACAACCACACTAGCGGCTGTTGCTACTCTAAATTATGGAAAAATATTAAGAAATTAGCGATTTTTACTCCAAA